AGATGCGACTGCGGCCTCTGCGACGACGATGTCCTCGACGATGTATATATATAATCATGTTTATTTAATATATTATTATTTAATAATATTATGTATTTAATATATTTAATATATTATTATTTTAAATATTATTACATATTTTTAAAAATTAAACTACCAAACGCAGTTTCAATTTTTTTTAAAATTGAAATTAATATCTGAATAAAACTATCAAACACATTTTTAAAGATAATTTTAAAATAAAAATAAAAACATTTTCATTTCTATTTTTATAGAGAAAATAAAAACATTTTAAAACTAATTCTAAATACACCTACTGTTTCTCCATAGTTCATGTGGCTGTTGAAAAACATTTATTAATGAGCTAAATCATATACATAAAAAAAATCATATTTTGTGTCCATCTTTTCATCGTCTATGTGAATTTACTTTCTCTATTGAGATTTGAGGCAATTGAATCCCACGTTCCCAATTGTAATTAATTGTCTTTGTATCTGCGGCCAAAACGCAAAAACATAGAGAGAGAGAGAGAGAGAGAGAGAGAGTACTGACGGCAAGGGCAAAAGGTGAAGGACGAGGTAAACGCGGTCGCCATAGAAGGAAAGAACTTGTTTGAGAGCAGGCCAGGAGTCTCTGCTATCAGGGCAAACAGGGTCGAAGAACGCTTCGATCAAAATGGCATCAAAGTCAACTTGGTGACTTCCGAACACGAATCCGTCCAATTTTGCAGGTGGTAGGGATTGGCCAGACACAACCGAAACAAAGAAGAAGAAGAAGAAGAAGAAAGCTGATCGTAACATCGGAGTCATATGCTTTGGTGCCTTCATCTCTATTGGGGACCCTCTTTCTTCCAGTCGAAAACTTCAGCAAGAGACCGCGATTTTTAGATATTTTCGAGGACTTCGATTTTTTTCCACCTAGTAAAGTGGATTAGTTTATTCGCGTCTGACGCACGTGCCTGAGGATAGACAACAGGTCGCTCTTTTTATTTTATTTTATTTTTCTCTGTAAATCGAAACAAAATCATGTTCATCAAAACAAAACAAAACAAAACCACGTCGTTCCACCCTACCCATGTCGTCGGTTCTTTTCTTTTCTTTTTTTTTTCTTTTTTGAGGGAAATATCTTTCGTTTTTTAGAGATTAAGGTCACGTTTAGTTTATGGGTTCATAATCAAAGTTCATGATTCTAATTTTTAAAATTTAAATTTTTTATGAGAGAAAAATACTCTAACGAACTAATAACCATGTTCCTAAACCAAGTTAGAACCCTCGAAACAAATGGAACATAAACTTCTATTTGTTTCGATGATTTAACTCAATTCAATTCAGTTTGAACGGTGAGCACAGTTTAAACTCGTGTTTAGTAAACATGTAGTCTAAATTATATTCTCTCATTTGAATTGAGTTAAAATGTCCAACTTAAAGTTTAGCTCATCCTTAAATTCAACAATTCAAATTATTTTTAAACAGTAAAAAAATGTTCACTCTCTCTATTTTTCACACCTACTAAACACAAATTTTAATTTTATTTTCTATTTAAATTAAAATTTTTAATTATACATCTAAACGTCAATTCGAACTACCATTTAAACTATACAGTTTGAATTTTTCTGTTTAAATAAAAAAATCAAATCAATAAAATTTGAATTAGTGAATCGGGGCTAAAAATGTCAATTATTCTAACATTTCTAATTAAAAAGACAGCAAAATACAAGGAAAACAAAATGTACATATATGTTAGAGTGACCGACGTGTCGGAATAAACGAGATGAAAACTACATACGAATGACATGTCGTACACTTGAATGTACAAGTACATGACGAAACGACTTATAAATGAAGGCGACATCAAAAGGCATTAGCGGAGAACATATAAAAACGACATCAAAAGACACCAGGGAGAAAAGTACATACTGAAAATGACAAATAAAAAATGTTTTTAACACAATTGGCTACTGAACTATAGGTTTAATAAATTGCCCTCTAAATTTTAATTTTGACAATTAACACTCAAAGTTGTAAAATTTTTGCAATATACCCCATTTTACTAAATTTATTCAAATTTTTTTATTAGATTTAAGGAATTAAAAGTTAGAGAATTTAAATATTTGTGTTACATTTGAATCGGAATGGTAGAATTTTTCATCAAACGTATTTTTTCCACACTAATTTAACACAATCATCGTTAAAATTGGGTATATTGTAATAATTTTACAGGTTAAAGAGGTAAATTGTCAAAATTTAAAATTTAGGGAATAAATTACTAAAACTATATAAATTTAGGAAGCAAATGTGTAAAATACTCAACAAAAATAGCAGTAATAAATTATAAAAATGGTGAACGAAATAAAACGATAGGTGAAACATGTGATGCGACAATAAACAAAAAAGTTATGGTTAATGAAAAACGACTATTAAATACCATATAAAAGATAACAAAATTATGGGCAGTAAAGATTCAAAAGGCAAAAATTAAAAAACATCAATAAATGTAAAAGTATATAAACAAAGGAGAAAAGGAAAGATCATATGACAATAATAATATTAGGAACATCAACTCTAATTTTAATTTTAATATTAATTATGAGTTGTCATTCTTTTATATCAACTAGCTTTAAAAACGTGTTATGCATCGGAGACACTTAAAGAATTTATTATTTACCGGATAACGATGAATACAAGCACTTAAAGATTTTTAAATTTATTTTAAAAAAAATTTAGTTGAAATAAAACACATTTTTAATTTTAAACACATAGAAAATATCTATATAACTGTAATTTTAAAGGAGACGATTTAGTATAAAAAAATATGTGTAAAGATAACTTTTGATATGATATGAATTATATAGAAAATAATTAAGTACAAAAAAATTTGAAAAAAATTATTTTAACCATTGATAAAATATATGAAATAAGAAACATGCAAAAAAAAAATTTCTTTCATACGTGTAAAAGTGAGAAGAAAATATAATTTAAAAATACCAAAAAAAACATACGTAAAAATTAAAATGTAAAAAAAAAAAAAAAACATTAAAAAACATTTAAAATAAAAATAAAAATAAAGAGAATGAGGGTGAGGGAGGGCTGCCGAAAATAGTCTTAGCTCTTTTATATATAAAGAGAAAAGAATTATTAATAGCTACAATTTATAAATTGGTATAAAGGTGAGATTAAAGTTGGTGTTTTTTACTTTCCGCAGAGAGATGAGAAGAAACACAAATATAAACGACAAACATAATAATGACATTAGAACGAAAACGAAGATAAAGGAAATACAAATGGGAGACCAACATCTTGACTCGGTACCAAAGGTCAACCACAAGTTCACAACAAAAGTCCCATCATCCGTAGGACGAGTGTCGCTGCGAGATCTCGGAAAGAGTTATTTTCCCGGCTGATGGTGAAATGGTTTGGATATTTTAGCCTCGTTCATTTCACGATTTGAGTTTTCAGTCTTAAATTTTTACAGTAAAAAATTCTTAAAAAATATCACATTTAATTTTTTTTATTACAGTAAAAAAATTTTATAAAATGTCATATCTTAACTTAAATTAAAAACTTGAATCTGTAAAGTGAATGAAACTTTTGTAATTTTGATTGTGAAAGGGCTATTTTGTTGACACGAGGAGGAAAAGGCGCGTGTGAAGGGTCTGGACAAAAAAATATTTCCATGTAATTTTTTTTAATATTGATAAAATATTTTTTTATGTAAATAAACGTAAATGATTTTTTATTAATTTTAAATAAAATATTTATATGATAAATTGTTATTTATTTTAAATAGTATTAAAATCTGTTATTTATTTAATTTAGTTTTAAAAATCTATTATTTACTATAAATTTTGTTTTATTTAGTTAATAGTTTTTTAATTAGATTTTTTTATCCTTAAAATCTTTATAGGATATTTGAGTCATTTTCAGTGTCAAAATGGACTGTTGTTCAAGAAAGGGTAGACATTTACCTATTGAATGTAATCCAAAGGTATGCAATTGATCAAATTAAAAACTGATGGCATACTTTTTAGATAAACCCAAAACACAATGTGCAAAAATGTAAATAACCATCTTTTCTCCCAGTTTTAATAAAGTTTCCCAGTTCCCCAAAATAATTATACCTTAATATCAAACGAGTATCACGACAAACAACAACAGAGAGTTTTTAGGGTCCGTTTAGTTCGCTGATTCGAGTTTTTAATTCGAGTTGAAATATAATTTTATGTGAGAGCTTTTTACTGTAGCAAAAAAAATATATGTGATTGTTTGTGAGAGCTTTTTACTGTAGTAAAACTTGAATTCTAAACTCGAATCAGTGAAATGAACGAGGTCTTAAAAATCAACAGATAGTTGAAAGCCGAGAAGCCAGCAGATCCTCCTAAAGGAACCATGCAAAATGCCCCTTTTTTTTTGGCCGTTTTGCCCTCCACCTCCTAGGCTTAACGGCTCAATCAATTTTGTCCATTCACTAAAATTGGTGGAGGCTCCCGCATTAGGCAAATAAAATCCATTTAGGACGAAAAAAAGGCGTTCCGTACAGCCCTGTTGAAGCCCCATACTGCATAATATGACGTAACAAATAAAACACTGTTGTTTGATTCAAATTTCAATCAATAAACATGCTATACGTCCCCAAAAACAGTAGGCATTCATATAATGACAAAAAAAAAAAAAAAGATATGTATCATATATATATATATATATATATATATGATGCATTTATGTGAGCAATATTGCGTGCATATAAATATATATGGAAAACAAAAAAACAAGTGACTTTTTTTTGTCGCCTTATAATATTACCTTAAAGGACAATCTTGTTTCTTCATAATTTCATAGGAATCCCCGAGTACTCCGGTAGTGAATTTCACAATTTCATTTACAATTGAAGTTCTGGATAGATGTCGTGTTTCATTATGGTTAAACCTTTCCTATTTAGATGTAGTAAATTTAACAAGTTAGTTCAACATTTTGAAAAAAAAAAAGAAAAAAAAAAAAACTTAATTTTGCTAGCGTCTATAGCCAACCTGATGAGTGGTTCTATGTAAAAGTCTGATACTAATTGTATTTACTTTTCTACTTTTATAGTAATCACGAATTATTTCAATAAAACCGATTAACCTGATGCTTGAAGAACTCCTCCAACATGGGAAACGTAGCAGAAGCAGTCATCATATTTACGGTGTGCAATGCACGAGAAACAGCAAATGCATTGTCATGATACCTGCATTAAAAAGAAGAGAGGATCCATATATATGTACGACTTGTTAGGATTTTAGTTTGTAATTTTTTACAACGGTTTTTTAAGAAAATTTAAAAAATAAGTTTGAGAAGATGATGACGTATTGAGTAAGTTTATCTGATCAAAGCATTTGAATTTCAAGATGAAGTGATGGATTCCAGAGAATATAAGTTGCTAAAAAGATAAAAATAAAGAGTCAAAGTTTTAAAAAATATTTGATGAGATAATCCTAATTAAATTGAATTGAATTAAAATTTAATTAAAAATAAGATGTAGTCTCAGCAAGATAAAAGTTTCAGATTGTGCATTTTTTATAAAAGATAATATGCAGAAGACGTGTGTGAAGATAGAGCAGAGATCATCAGAGCAAAATTGTTGAGTTCGGCTTTTAAATTTAAGATCAGATAATGTTGCTGTTAGTAATAATATGAATAATACAAAGAAGAACAACAATTTTTTCAAGATCAAAATAATGAAATTGTTACAACATTGTTTCAACCTTTCTACCAAACTTGGAAAACCGAATTGGCAAGGATGTCGAGGCACGTGAACCACGTTTTTTTTAAATCAGATTCGTCCCCTCCGGCGAGTGCTTGAGGTAACGTTGGACGTCCGTCTCCCAGGATACAACAACAACGACGGTAGCTCGAAGCACTATTGGAACCATCCGGCGAACTAGAACTGCACCTTTCCTCTATCACCAAAACACACTAGAAGAGAATTGCAAGAAGAACTCGGAAAAACAAGAGTAAGAACTCGAGAGAGAGGTGAAGAGTATGTTCTTCCTTCATGTGGAGAACCCTTTATATTGGCTCTTGAGAAATGAATTTTGAAACAAGTACTTATGGGGCTTAATCACACATTATAACGGGGCAAAAATCATTCATCTTCCTCAAGATGAATCCGACCACCTTTGTACACCAAGGTTCAGATTTTTTATGAAGAAAACCGAAGCCATTAAGCTCACCATCAAGCCTAATTCAGTTTTCCTTCATTAAGTCTCATTACACACCTTTAAGCACACTATAAACCGCCTTTGTACACCAAGGTTCGGATTTTTTATGAAGAAAACCGAAGCCATTAAGCCTAATTCGGTTTTCTTTCATTAAGTCTCATTACACACCTTTAAGCACACTATAAACAACATTAAGCTTAGGCCAAACAGCTGGAAGGTTTTGGACCGAATCAAAAAAATAAAAATTGCAAAACAAAGCCCGCACGAATTGGATTTTCCAGTCCGGCATTTGTGTCCGCAAGTCGCGAGCGCACACATTGGGCCCCTAACCCTCCGAGACCGTGATTCGCACCCCCTGTGTGTGAGAGAGACTCTCTGGTACACATGCTTACATAGGCTTTAAAGTGCAATAACTAATAAACTCCACTAAGGCTTCATTCCTGACTAATGTGATATTTTTACAATTTTCAACTACCTTAACCATACCCAGTGACATACTTAGAACATCAATTTCTCATTCACCAAATATCCATTTTGAGTGCATGGACATTCGATTTCGATCTCCTCGTGATGAAAAACACAAATCCATCGAGACCCGTTCCAAAATTTAATTGGGCCTCTTTTCAAAATGGGCCTTTAATATGGCTTAACAAGCCATTTTTCAACAGTTGCAACAAGTCGTTGAATAGATTGTGCGACAGTTTGAATTTTAAGTAAGCGTAGAGATAATTTAAATTTGATCTGGATTGTACCAACGTGAAGATAAAGAATAGAAATTTTATAAATAGAACTTAAGACTATTCATTCCGTGGGCTTCTTAAATTTCACACATAATATTTTGAGAAGTTTCTATTATTATTCTTCAACTCAAATATTTGAACGTGTTAAAAACAAAAAATTTGTTAAATTGAAAAAAATTATAGATCTAACATGACTAATAATTTTGATTTGAAAAAAAATAAATAAAATTCACATACAGTTCTGGAAACCAGTTGATAACAAATGAATTATATGGCAGTGGAGGCGATTAATTATTATTGAAAAAGAAGGGGGAAAAAAAACTGACGGTAACGGGAAAAGGTGAACAACGAGTGATAGATGAGAAGGGTAGAAGTCAGCAGCTTGTTTGAGAGATGGCCAAGAGGCTTTGCTGTAGGGGCAGATTTGGTCCAAGAAAGCCCCAATCATGATTGAATCCAAATGAACATAACGCCGATTTTGGTAGGAAAATCCTCTAATTCTCATTGGTGGTATTTGCTGGCCAAACGCACGCATGTTGAGGACAAAACAGAGGAAGTAAGAATGAGAAGCAATAATTTTGTTTTGAGGCTCGAGTTATATTGCCTTAGTCCCACCATGGTCGAGTCTCTTTGCTTTTTTCCTTAAATTCTCCTTCAATAGTTGTATATGTATATATATATATATATATATATATATGTATGTATATATATAAAATCAAGGCTTCATTGAAACAACCCAGAATAGGAAGAACAATTAGATTACTGACTATACTTGAGAAAGTTTGAACAAACACTACTAAGCTAGCATCGTTATGAAACTGATGTCTATCACTATAGACGCTTCTAAGGGTAGCATTTATTTATAGCTTGTGGTTGTGACCTCATGAACAATAAAAGAGTTTTTGGCAGTATAGATTAGAGAATCTTCCAACGTAAGCCTAAGTATACTTGTCTGTTGCAGTAGCCATCATAATCATAATATGTTGTGTTTTCAATTCAGTCCAGCAAATTCATTATTTGGCCACTTTTCTTTTTTCCTTTTTTTTTTTTCCATCTTCTAGGAATTGACTGTCAGGCGCTAGCTTGGGAGTAGTGGCGAAGGAAAACTTATTATTCGCCGCTTTGTCAAAGCGAAAGGACCAAAATCGGAGCCTAACTTTTAACCTTTGGCTCTAATTATTGGTTTATTACTTTTTGAATTTCAGGAGGATGGCCGGGTACTCATGCACATTGTGGCCAATTGTTTCATTTGATGCTGGAGAAAAGATGTTGACCAAATAAAGTCATCTCCTTCAACAATGGAAGTATTAATTGAATTAGACTTGCTTATATATATTTTATTCTTCGAGTGAATTATTCTGATTTACATCTACTTATTATGTCTTTTTTTTTTTTTACTTGAGATTGTTATGTCATTTTTTTTTTATGCTACAAGTTTTCCGTTAAAAGAAAAAACAAATGGAACACCTTGATACGTCATGTTTTACTAGTTGCTCTTCCTTTTTTTTTTGTTAAAAAGCTAAAACGGCATATTTCTGGACATGTGTGCGAGTCTGTTCTACTGTCTACGCTACCAGAATGAATCCAAAATGCCTTATGCGAACACCATTAAGGGAGCGTTTGGTATAATTTTAGATCCTAATTCAGAATCAATGCTTATTTACAGTAATTCTGAATCATGATTCAGAATTGATGTTTGGTTTGAATGATTCTGAATCATAATTCTAAATCTGATGTGATATTTTAAATAAGAATCACTCATGATTCTAAAACCACCTCACTCTTGATTCAAGGTAATTTAAGTCTCCGATTCTGAATCATGGTTTCAGAATCATGATTTGAACCTAAAATCATGAATCATGATTCTAATTTTAAAATCATGATTAAAATCACTCTGATTTAAATCCTCGTACCAAACGAACCATAACTCGAGATAAAAAGTAAACCAAAAAAAACCGAGATTATGCCAAAAGATCAAATTGGCCAGAAGCTACTCTGTATATCAGAGCCAGATTTTGATCCTGGGACCTATGGGTTATGGGCCAACCACGCTTCCGCTGCACCACACTGATTTGTTGCTTAACCAATGATTGAGATGTTAATAACTGCGCTAATTATTCCAAAAATAGCGAACTCTATGATTGAGCTATTTTCTTTGATCTTGAACTTTATTTTCTGATCAAACTAATCAAGCTTTGATTAGGAAAGCTAACCAATAGCTTGCTGCCCACCCTTTGTTTTCTCGATGGGCCAGTGCACCAACAAGCCAGTGCGCATGGGCCGAAACAAAGACCAAAGGTTTTTCCCAAAAATGGCACAAAAACTTGAAAGTAGGGCTCGCACTTCGTAAGTGGAATGAAGAAGCCATTAAACAGACTCTCACGATCTAAAGGAGATATCTTTTTTTCCTATAAATAATTTAAAATTCTCTTTTCCTTCTTGAAAGTGGCCTAAAGAAAAAATCTTAAATATTATTAGAGGTCATAATTATTTTCCAATAATTTTAACAGCTGATAAGAATTATATTGCCATAAATATGTAATAATTGGCAAGCCAAAGTTCTCCTACCTGAAGCAACTGCTTCGGCAAACAAAAAGGAAAAAAAAAAAAAAAAAAACAAAACTTCATAGAGATGAAGAACTCAATAAAAGACTATATGACGGCCTAAAATAAATATCTTTTTGAAAGTGCCTAAAATGATAACTTTAAATACCATTGGAGGGCATAGTAATTTTTTCAACAATTAATAATAGAGATCCAATTCACACATAAACCTGTTATTGGTGAGCAAAAATATTGACATATAAATATGAGATGATTGGAGAGAGCCGAAATTGTGAGTCCATAAGCATTGTGAGGCTCTCTCTTGTCTTTGTGAAACACGAAAAGCACGTCATCGATCTCCGAACTGCCGAAGAACATAAAACGCGCACACACTTTTTTCTCTTCTCTCTCAGTTCTTTCCCAATATAGCCGTTACCCAAGAACTAACACACGTCACTCCTTTAATAACCCCCTCATTTCTTACCGCCACACTTTCCCACCTCAGATTCTCTCCCCCCCAAACACTCCCGTATTCATCAATAATCTCCTAGAAACCTCTAACTTGCGCCATGTTCTGCACTACGCAACCCTTCCCAGCACAACCGCTTCTTCATCAACCACCCTAGATCTCTCTCTCTCTCTCTCTCTATATATATATATATATATATATCCTTAAAGAAAACAAAAACACTTTTTCTTTTAAGGGGAAATAAAGAGTACGTTTAGGGCTTTAACAAAAATGCTTGTATCAGTGTTTCTGGCCCTTTTTCTACCGTGCGCCGGCATGAGCGGAGTGTTCATCGTCTACTTATGTCTCCTATGGTACGCCACCAGCAACCAAAACGATCAGGAGTACCGGTCACCGGCTAAGCCGGTTTCCGTGCAGGGGTTGTCGGCTTCGGAGCTGGAGAAGTTGCCGAAGATCACGGGGAGAGAGCTTGTGATGGGGTCGGAGTGCGCCGTTTGCCTTGACGAGATTGAGGAGGAGCAACCGGCTCGGCTGATTCCCGGTTGCAACCACGGCTTCCATCTAGAGTGCGCCGATACATGGCTTTCCAAGCATTCGGTTTGTCCGATTTGTAGGGCCAAGCTCGACTCTCAGTTTTTCACTGCCTCTGATCAAAACCCTTGTTAAATACACGAGGCTTATAATATCGTCTTATTATGTTATTTTTTCTATTAGGGTTTTGATTTTTGAAGGTTTAATTTGTACAGTCATCATCGTTGATCTCTTTTTTTTTTTTCCTTGGTGGCGTTAGAAAAGATATTAGTTTTGATCAAGAACAGCTTGAGTGCTACATTGGTTATTGACTTTATTAATATCTTTGGACTTTGGTTAATAAGCATGTGTTTTGAGGTGCGTATAATCTGGCCAAAGCGATAGAAAGAAAAACACTATGATTAGGTTATTAGATTTGATGCTTTAGCAAAATTATTATATAATCTTCCATACTTTTACGAAGATAAACATGAGATCACAGAAGAAGAGAAAGCTTTAGTCCGTCACTATTTAATTCAATAAATTAAGGTCACAAAAGTTGCTGCAATGATTGAGTTTTTTGCGGATGCGTTTCACAAACAGTTTAGCGGTGGTAATTATTATATATCTCATTAAAGGCTTATAACCAAACCAATAGATTAGCGCCACGTCAGGAGGGGGGAGTGATTTCTAAGCGACAATGAGGACCCAGAACCAATCAGGCATGGCGTGGTTAGTAAGCGTAGGGAATGGAATTACCATTTTGGACCCACCGGCGCGTTGAGTACTGTCTGCTTGTTGTGGCAACCTGGCTGTAGTACATCGCTACTAAGGAAAATAGTAAGGAGGAGTTTGGTATCAGTAATTTTAAGGATAGAAATAAAAATCTGTAATATTATCATGTTTGATATAAGAATTATTATTTTTAGATTCTCAAAAAAGTGATTATCATGAGATTTATTTTTTCTTATTTTAAGGTAATTTAAATACCACCCAATATAGTGTTATTTAAATTCTCAAGAATATCAAAATTATGAGAATCTTATTATTATTATTATTATTATTATTATTACTTTTATTATTATTATTATTATTATATTTATTATTATTTTATTATTAAATAATAATTTTTAATAAT